CCATGATTATTATTTGTTGGGGACTAGAGATTTTAGATAATAGAGCAACTGGCCTGGCCCTTCCCCTCTCCCACTCCAAGGGGTTGTCATTTTAGTGACTCAGTGAATTACCTGTCAGTGTACTCCACACCTCTACCAGTATTATGCCTCTGATGTTTCTCAAGATGACACAGAGCTTTGGGTATACCCAGTTTCCTTGAGATGGCAGTGGGTTTGGTAGGGCTCCCTTATTGTTTCTTTGATCATGCCCAGCTGCTAAACTCCCATAATTGCCAGATGCTATATTGTTTTCAACAAATGCTGTGGGGGCATAAATTGCTCCATAAAATAACCTAATCATATGCTTGCTTCTCTAAAGAATGGTTACTGAGATCTGTTTGGTATTCCTTATTATCCCAGGATGGTTCCTTTGAAGGGTCTTATTCCTCAATTTCTCCTACAAAATAGATAATCTACACTTCTCTAAGTTGTAGGTCTTGAATCTCAGCTGCCTTTTGCCACACTTCCCAGTGCTGTGCCTTCATATTCGAACTTACCCATGCTCTGTTGCAAATGAAGTCACTTCTTTTGGAAGAGATTAAGGGGCTATTGGTTTCATAAACTGTTTCTCCCTCAAGCAAAATCTCTAAGACTAGGCTTAGCTGAAACAATGTCAAACTTCTGAGTGACATCCCTACTCTAGAACCCAAGTATCCCGCTAAGTATCCAAAACATTCAAGTCTTCTGGTTTTCACTGTTCTTAAGTAGCGGTAACACTAATTAATGTTAGTTCATAGATAAGGTCTTCTCTTGCTCTTTTAAAACCCCTCTTTTTGGTTTGCTTCATAAGGGTGTCACTCTGACTTCACACATTTGTAGAGTCCTAGACTTTATCTTCCAGAACTTGGCTCAGTAGGTCTAGATAATTTCCCAGACACCATCAATCTGATATGACTTCAAACGAATTTGTTGAGTTCTCAACCAAAATACACTCAAATACCACCCCTAACTGTTCTATCATCTCCTTCTGGTATTATTAGGTTGATTAACTTTCCCCATATGCTCTTGGTGTGCTGTAACTTCTCCACATTCTCTACACACTGTACTGCCCTCTGCAATTTCATCTTCGTCTTCTGATTTTCCTTATCTGCCATGTTTTTCCACATCTAGATGCTTTACTGTTTTGAAGTCTAATTTTCTTCCCATGAACTGTTATCCCCTACCTCCATTATTAATAGCTACTTATTCCTTATTTACATGGTCTTCTTTTCCTTACAAATTGCATTTGAGCCATCAAATGTTGAAGGACACGTAATTTTTGTACCACTAACATAGCTGATACTACAGTGCCATCCCAATTTTATTTTAAATGTCTGAATGCACTCATCCAATTACAATATCGCAGTCGTAATGCTGCTGTTTCTCATTTTTCAAAACACTGACTTCTCACTTTTGAATACGTGATCCAAGATTCTTCAAACATGACATGAAAATTCTTTGAGATTGGGTTTAAACTGCTTTACTTATAAGAACATTAACATTTGTTTCTGTTAGGTGCCTGGAATCACTTCTAACCTGAAACCACTTCTAATTTTTAGTTTTTCTGACCACAGAGGTTGTAGGAGTCTGACTGAAAATCAATGTTAAATGTCAGCTTAGGGATACAAATTCAGAGATTTTTCTTTTTCCCTTCCCTCCGGAGTTTTTTTTCCTCTTTGACATAGAGGGTATTCTGGCTCATTCTTTCACTGAGTGGGTTGTATCTTGAGGTCTGTTTTTGGAAGTGTATCTCACTCTGACTTCACACTTATATTGGCCCTATGTTTTGTCTCCCTTTTAAAGGTTAGGCCATTTCAAAGTCTTTAGGACACAAGGATTGGGAGAGCCCTCAGGGCCATCCTCTCCTTTAACACTTCTCTGGATTCATGCTTTATGTTCCACCTCCCACTAAACCTCTTTTATTTTGAAAATTTTCATGTCTCCAAAAATGTGAAACAATAAATACCTATCTTTCACTAAGTTTCACCAGTTGTTATTCTACATTTGCACTACTTTACATTTATTTATGTATATACACACAATTTTGCCCATTTGAAAGTAACAGAAGACACTTCATCCCTAGATAATTCAGCATCCATCACCTAAGAAAAAGGACATTCTCCTACATAAGCACAAATCTATTATCACACCTAGAAAATTAAATTCTGTATCATATAGTTCTTATGCAAATTTCCACATGGCCCTAAAATGTCTTTAATAATGGCTGGATTTACTGAATTCAAGATCAAATCTAAGTTCATGGATTCCATGTTGTTGTTTGATTTAGAAGAATATCCCTACCCATTTTACAATGGGTTATTTTAAGAATTCACACCAGGCCTCTTTGTAAATGTCCTACATGCTACTTTTCTAATTATTCCATATTATAAGATTCAGGTGAAATATTTGTAGCACAAATGCTACAGGTGATAGGGGAGCTTTATCTTTCTTTCTTGCTAGCTCAGGAATAGGTTTAAATAATTTTTATAAATGAATTTTACCTAGTATTTCAGATGTTGTGTACCGTCAGGGTTCCTGAGGGCATGCAGTGTGCCAATTGCCAGGAACACACATGCCTTTCTGACCACTAACAGTATAAGTGTAAGAATGGTGACATATTTACCACTCCCTGAAGCTAGGTAATACGAAGAGCAGAAGCTTAAGACGAAACCTTCCATTAGAAGTTGCATCCTACCAATTTTTTCTCTTATTATTCCCTAAAAATCTAGAGCTTAATATGGGTGTTTGTTGGAGTCTTAGAGGTATAAGAATTAAATTGGTAAAGAACAAGCTAAAGAACTGAGGATAGATTTAAAAGCCTTAGGGATACTGTTTTTTCTCATCTAACCAGTAAAAAGGTAGAAATTACATTTCTAACCTGCCCCTTTTCACAGCAATAGCAGGAAAAATAAGAAAAAGAAAACCAAATGTTAAGAACTTACCATGTGTCAACCCTGTACTCTAAATGATCTCATGTCCATATTCACTCCATGAACTGAATGACTATCCTTACCTCATACATAAAGTGAAACTGCATTCATACAGGCAACTGGTAAGGTTTACCAGTTCAAACCCAAGGGTCCAAAATCTACGCTTTTCCCACCATACAAAACACATCTAGAAAGATAACAATTTCTAAGTTCCATTCTGATGTATTACTTTGTTATTCATGGCTGTTAAGGATAACCTAAAGAAAAACTAAAGTCAAACTTCTTAAAAGTACAGTCTACACTCAATCATTCATGTAACCCACTGCACTCCTGCTGCTGCTCAGAATGGCACAGCTCTAACCAGGTCACTTATGGATTCTTATTACTAAATTCAATGGTCACTCCATCTTCACTTCATCTACTCTAACACTTGTTAACACTGATATCTCACTTTTTGAAACCCCTTTGTCTTGTTTTCCTTGTAGCTTTCCTCCATGGCTAATCTGTAGTCTCCTTGTTAAGTCTTTTTTTCCTACTCTTTAAATAGTTTCCTTTAATATTATACATATCTTGTTTCTCATTCTATAAATTTCCTAGGCAATATCACATTGTTTCAGTTACCAACTATTATGCTAGTGGCTCAACTTGGACAGCTGTTCAGTGATAGATAAAACAGACATGATTCCTGATGAATCTAAAAGGCTATGCCTGTCTGCAGCCCGGTATTTCTCATAAGCAACAGTATCATGGACACCTGCACTTTAATTTTCCAGAAGTACCTTAAAATCAAGGTACCCCAAACTGAACTCACTACCCTTCACTCATAATCTGTTCTTTTCTCCCTTTGTTATCTTTACAGGTACCATATAAAGTATGCCTTAGGCAACCACATGGTCTCAATTATTGCTCTTATTTTATTTCTAAATCTAAAATTTGTGCTACTTTTCACATCTCCACTGTCAGACAGCTAGTTTAGGGGTCACCCAGATTACTCACAGCCACCAAATGCCACCATCTTTTCCATAGCATATTCTTCAGTTTAAATGTTATTTCACATGGATCGAGCTAGAGGGTATATGCTCAGTGAAACAGGCCAAGCGGAGAAAGACAAGTACCAAATGATTTCACTCATTTGTGGAGTATAACACAGCAAAACTGAAGGAACAACACAGGAGCAGTCTCAGACTCCAAAAAGGGAATAGCAGTTAACAAAGGGGGAGTGGGGAGCAGCGGTTGTGGAGGGCTAGTGGGGAGGTAGGGAGAGGGGATTAAGGGGCATTGTAATTAGCACCCACAATACAGGTAGGTCATGGGGAAGGCAGCATAGCATGGAGAAGACAAGTAGTGACTCCATAGCATCTTACTATACTGATGGGCAGTGACTGCAATGGGAGGGGGGTGAGGACTTGATAATATGGGTGAATGTTGAAACCACAATGTTGCTCATGTGAAACCTTCATAAGATTGTATATCAATGACACCTTAATTTAAAAAAAAGTTATTTCAGAAAGGGGAGTCTGATTAGGTAAGCTCTTCAAGCCCTATCCTGCTTAAAATTCTTCAGGGGCTCCTTGTTGCCCTCAAGTCCAAGCCCCCAACAGTTAACATGACTTTCAAAACACTGCTTGAAAGAGTGTGCTCAGTTCTCCCGCTCAGTGTTGTACACCTCCAACGTACACTCTATTCTGGCCTGAACCTTTCAGGTCCTGGAATATACACATGTTCTCTTGCATTTTCGGACTTCTATATGTCTTACTCTCTTTTCGCTCTCTCTTTGCCTGGCCCTCTGTCCTATGGTTTATGATTGAAAGAGATCGCTTCCCTGACCAACAGGCTTGGGGTCATATCCTTTCCTGTGCTTTCCTACTATACTTTTTGTTTATCCCTATCATAGCACTCATCATTCTCAAGTTTAAACACATATGACAGCAGGAACTGTATTTTATCATTCACTTTTGTATCTCCAGTGCCTGGCACATACTATACATTTTTTTAAAAGAGTTTAAATGATCAAATCTCAACTCAAAGAGGAAGAAAAAAAATTCACTTGAAAACATTTTCAATTTTCTAATTTAATAGAAATAAAACAATGTGACTTTCAAACAAGGCTTTAACCTAATCTAATACAACTTCTATAACACATTCCAGAGCATTGTAACAAGAAATATTTACAGGCAGCTAATGTATTAAATAACCATGAAAAGGGAATCTTGTTTTTATTACACACCAGCAAAAATACAGGAACGGAACAATTAGAAACTGCAACCTTATTTAAAAAATTAAATATGATTATTTAGAGAATACAATACCACAGAAACAGCACTTTTTCTTTAATAATTATATTGAAGGGTACTTATGTGCAAAAATAATAGTTGTAGTAGTAGAAATAATAATGAGGGGAGGAAACCAGTTGAAATACTGGAAGCAAAGAACTAATAAGGCTGTGAATTTAACCATTTCATGTGTAGGTATATCTACACAGAAAATCAACAGGCTTTCAGATTGCACAAATCTTTTTTTTATAGGCTTATATATATGTTTCACTGTGATTTAAAACATAGTAAATGCCTACATTTTTCAGACCAGGAGCAGACATGCATTTTATTCTTAAGATTGAAATTTAGGCCACACTTGAAAGGGAATATTGCAGTGGCACTCACAAAATCATTTCAGTGCCTTCCCCACATACAAATTTCGTGAATTTAAAAGAACGTCATTTTTAATTTTTAAGATTACTTATTTAAAAAGGGCTAAACTTAATTTTGTACATTTTATAGTTTATGACAAATATATCCAAATTGATTTTTTTGAAGATAATTGTTTCTCAGACACAATAAAAAACATATAAAAGACCCCGAAGGCAAACACAAGGAACTAAGATGGAAGAAATGCTATACATGCATTTTGACCAAGTAAAAGAAACCATTATTATATCTAAGAGTACATGTTGAATTCTGAAATGTCTATGTAAACTGTGGCATATACATTTTCTTCTTAAAAAAGTACCTTCAACTTTTTACTCAAATACCTACTTTTAAAAAAATATGCAACTTTCCCCAATTTTTAAAATAAAATGCCACAATATATTGTCATTAGTTCCAGAATACATTTAAATTTCTTAATTTGTAAAAGATAGACTGGGTGATATGCATACAAACTTTCCTATAAAATCACCATCCAGTATAGGATTGTGACATGCTATTAGGCAACAGACTTAAAGCAGTGTTATTGCTTTATCAAAGAGGAGATAACTGAGAGAGAGAAATAAAACATCCAGGTCTGCTAACATGATCAAACTGTGATACACCTTGAAAACCTTGGATCACCTTCAGCAGATTATTAATACAAATGGTATGAATTAAAGAATTTGGTTGCTTTAATTAGCAGAGTTGGGGTGGATGTGTTTGATAAAACTCCTGACTGATCCAATGCTGAGTATGCAAATAAGCAGCACTGACAGGAAATGACAAGAGACTTTATTTTATGTGCTAGATATCAGTGGGAGTGGGTAAGAGGGGGCGGTCACACCATCAACTTCCATTCTGAATACTAAGAGACTCTTTAGTAATATATGGCAGGTCATAATCCAAGGGCATAGTCAGAAGACCTAAATCTATTGGCTAATTAACACTAATCATGAATAATTACATGGCAGGATACCTGCTGAGGTAATTGATAGATCTACAATTTGCACATTATAAACTTTTTGCTTCTATTTAGAAGCACTACTACCTCTTTGGATTAACTAAAAATCTCAGAAACTGTTAAAACAAAAAGTAAGAATTAATTGACTTAAAATTTATTTAAAGTTCCCTTAGCTATGAAACAGAAGTCAGAAAAGTACCTTGTTGGTTCGAAAAAGGGTAATTTCAATAGTAGATCTAATGTCTTATCCTTTCTCTGTAGCAACACTTGATGTTTCTATATAGAGCATGACCTACAATCGAACCATGCTTTGGAACACACACATGCTTCACCCTGCAAAGCAACCCCTTTACTTAGTGAATCAGCTGAGCCAAGTGCTAAAAAATACAAATTTAGGCCAGCAGAAGAGACTGAGGAACATTTTGTTCTTAGTGTTCTGATGGGAGACGGAAACTTCAATTTGGCAAAAATTGTGCAAGCTCTTCAGGAAACATTAACATCTCTAAGTTGAAAATAGTGCCTCTTAACAAAGAATGCAGCTGCAAGAATGTATCAAAACAAACTGCCTTCATGGACTGATATTCAATATTTGTCTTTTTTCAAAACATAAATTAATAGGAAAACATGTAAGATATCTTAATATCAAAGTTTTTATACTTTTTAACAGCTATATTAGACAGTGCTGAACAAATAAACTTAGAAACAAAATGACCAGTGCACAAGAAAAAAGCTTTAATGAAATCTAAAGTAAACACCTTCATTTAATGGTGGCTGCTTGATAGTTAGTAATAGTGATTCCTCAGCAGTCTGAGTTATGTTCTCTTAACAGAAATGGAGCCTATCAGACATTAACAATTAAGTGGCTTTTTAAGAACCAAAAAAGAAAAAAAAAACCGAATTAAAAAACCTCCATTTAACATGGAAATGTTTTGAAGGAAACACATTATCTCTTAAAGCCCCAAGTATAAAGAAATAAATATTTACTTAAAATTGTTTTTCCCCCCATTGGTAGAACCTACGCATGCCTGTTGTCTAAGAATCATGAAAAGGATTCATATAAAGAACAGGTATAAAATACTAGAACTCAATGGCTTGACAAAGTGAAGCTACATTGCTACTTAGCACTTTCCAAAAATGTGTCCTTTGATGTCTCCTGGTAAACTGAAATCATGAATGTGTGGAAAAGAGGAAAATATGCAAAGATAAAAACATTTTTAAAGAATTTTCTCTATTATAAGAAAACTCCTCTTAGGAATTTGAAATTTAAGTAAAATGATAAATCAGTTTAGTATATATTTTCAAGTTTACTTTAAAACAAAACTGAAAGAGAAGCTAAAAGGAAGTCACAGTATGAAAGTAAGTTAATAGCTATAATAAAAAACTTTAAATATACCACCAGAAAGCCTGAATAATATTCATGTTTACCCCCACCACTTATTAAGAAAAGAAAAACAACCCAAAGGAATTTGTATAGTTATTCTTTAGAGCACTTTATTTGATTCAATATGCACTAAAAAAGTATTTACCTCTTAGACAATTATGTTAAATAATTTTTTCTGAGTAGTCTAATGTATTATCTGCCGAAGCTGAATTTTCAAAAGGGCAAATGATTTGCCACAAATCTGCTGACATCTGAAAAATAACTAATGGCAAGTCTTCTATTTTGGTCACTTTATATTCTAACATGTCCATACAAAAAAGCAGCACTGAAAATTTTAACCCAACAAAAGAGAAGCCTGTACACAGTCTAGAACATACATCTTGGATCTGAGCAGCACAAATGGAGAAGAAAAATGAAACAGAACCAAGGTGGTTTATCTGCCTCGGATGCTGCAATCAGGGTAGTAAGGGTGGGTTTACTCCAGTAACCATTCAAGTGGGGATTGGCTCATTTTTCAGGATTTACTTACAGGTCTCTTCTAAGTCCTTTAAGCCCCCAGTCCATGCAAATGTCCCACTTGGTGGACAGATGAGTAATCTAACCCCACCGGGTTTATTTCAATATTTTGATATTTTAATAATAAGCTGCTTCTGAAGATTTTCTGAGAAGTCTGTTCTCTATTAAAATAAGGTAGAACCTCAAAATATGAATGTGAACATTAGAAATAGACAGCATATATTACAAATCCATTCTTGATAGGAACATTAGTAAGAATACACATTAGATTAAAAAACAAGCTCAGCAAATGTTGCTGATCTGCCAGAAGTTTTAGTTCACTATTTACAAATAAGACAAAGTGAATACAGAAAATCTTACACATTTGGTAGCGGACAGATTACTGTTTGCCAATAGTGAGTCTATCAGAAAACTGATATGGAGGAAGACTGGGTAAGAGCCAGTTGTCACCTTCCTAATCAAATTTAAATGTACAGAAAACTAGATTAATTCTGAAACAAACATTCTGCCTTTCATGGGAATAACTGTAAGATCAGATGACCTGACTAGGAAATGCAATTCTGTGGAAGCTGTTTTCTGGAAATGACTACTGTAACAATCATGATCTGCTACTGAAAAGGTACCATAGCTTTATTTCAGTAGACCACTAAAGGTGATTAAATGATGATCAATGATCATGTATCCTAGATTTTAAGTATGAATAGAAAATAAAACTACTGTTGGTTCTTTAAAGCAATATAAAAACTAACGCCCAACAGCATCAAAATGAGAAAAAAATGTAACGGCACAATTCAATGCACATCTGCACTGACATCAAAGAGGAATCTGAGCAACTTTGATTTTAACTAGAAAACAAACTAGTACATATGGATGTGGAGGGGGAGGGATAAAAGTTGTTTCAATAACTGTGTGCTCTAGGCCAAAGAGACAATTCATTAAGTGACATGTCCTTCAAGTATTTTACTTATACACCCAATGTCCTGCACCAATCAATACCACATGTTCAGCATCTGCCCATTCTAAAGAATTCCTCTTCAGTAACAGAAATCTTCAAATCATTTCACTTTTGCTTTTTGTTTTTACTTTTAAAGTTGCACATAGAGTTCTCTCCCCCTTTCTTGACAAGAAAGTGTTTTCTGTCCATTATTTCAATCTAATACTGTGTAAAAGCTATCACCTTCTTCCAGGAGGTGCCCACTGTAGGCAGGATATTCCAGCAACATTTTAAATAAAGTTTCTTTCTTTTTTTTTTTTTTTAAACAATTGGTTTAAGTTCATGTCATTTTACTTTATATGTACTGGTCTCTCATCTGACTTTAGGCGTTTTCTGCGGGGCTGTATAAAGTCTTCATCAGAGTCCTCAGTTACCTCACCATCATCCTCTTCCTGCTCAAACTCTGGCAAAGGTGCGAAGGTCCTGTCTGAGTAGATCTCTGTGAGTTTATCTTCAAAGTACAATGCAACTGCTTTCCCTGCCTGAGCTACTTCTGAATCAGCCTGCAAGCAAAAGATAGGAACATTCACCTATTGGTAATGCATATTCCTTCACCAAGTTTGCATGGTCTGAAAAGCTTACCTTCAAATTAATTTCTTGTGTGTCTGCATAAACTTGAACAACTTTCATCATCTAAAAAGGATACCAGAGTCAAAAAAAAAAAAAGGGAAATTATAATCCTTTCTAAAGTTATGAGACTGCATAGGATTGGCAATGAAAAGTCAGCCATACTAGGGGAAACAAATTGCTATAACCAGATTAAGTGTTTTCTAAACTTCTATAGACCATGGAACCACTTTCTTTACAAAGCTTTGTTACTAAAGCTACCATGAAACCTCAAATCCTTGTCTCAAATTCTGAGTTAGTGAGGTTGATCCGTTATAACCAGATTAAGTGTTTTCTAAACTTCTATAGACCATGGAACCACTTTCTTTACAAAGCTTTGTTACTAAAGCTACCATGAAACCTCAAATCCTTGTCTCAAATTCTGAGTTAGTGAGGTTGATCCGGAAAAAACTTGGTCTGAATATATCAATCTCTAAGAGAAAAATATTTGTGAAATGAATAGGAGAAATGTTATTTTTAAAAAGCTGCCAAACTTTCAGCAAACCACTTAATCAGAATTTTTTATGGCAATTTGCTAATCAAAAAGTACTTATTTATTACTGAAGTGATAAAATGGTTCTTCTTCTTCCTGGAAAATGTTAGCTATAGTTCATGAGAGCATATTTATTTGAAAATAATCTAACTGTATTAGAAAATAAAACAAAACACCTAGGCCTGTATTAATTTAACTAAAGTGACTGAGGCTTTACTATATATATATTCTCTGTGGCATATTGCTATGAAGGTGACTACATTTCTCACCTAATAAAGTTTTATTCCCCCAAAATTTTATAAAGTCACCTAGATGCTTCTCCAAAGGCAGCTATAATAGACTTTAAATGATTCACTGTGATTTATTCTACCAATAATCACATGGAACCCAAATTTCATCAGCAATAGAGAAGAGATTTTAGGACTAAGGAATTCCTTTTAAAGATTTTTGTGGATTCTCATCCAATTCCATTCTTCTCCTATATATAGTGGTGAAAATCTTAACAGTAACAGCCTTGACTTTTCCCAAAGTTAACAAAAATAATTTCCTTGAAGGAAGTATATATCTCATTTCTTTCCAAAGTATGGGTAGCTCATCCTTACCCTCAAAAAAATACATAACAAAGTTAATCAAAGTCACATTGCTGAGATCAGCAAACTCAACTTTATATACTCTGGACTACTATTCAAGATGAGCCACCAGAGATTAATTATGATTTCAAGGTTCTACAATTACATGGTCAAATAATAAAAATCAACAGTCATTAGTACAGATGCCTTCCTGAAATACAAATGCCTACCCCAAATGTAGGTTCTTTATAATCATTCCCACAAATACTTAACTATAGACTTTAAATTATATATAGTAAAATTTCTTTGGAGCTGTGGATACAATCAAATTTTAATTTTTAATAGAACTGAAACAGAAAAAATTTTTTTAAATCAAATTAGAAAAATCCCTTGACAGAAAAAACAAATCCAAAACAAAACAAATAAACAAACGAAAACTAACAATCTAAAACTCTATAGTTTAGAAGCTAACATACTTCATTAAACCTTTCACAGTTCTTGAAGATCAAACGGACATCCGCCACAAAGTCTTCTGGGACTTGGTAGTGTTGGGAATGTTTTTTCTGAAGCTTCTTTTTCACGGTAGATAAATCCATTGGTTTTTTTATAATTTTATAGTAGTTTGGTATCTAAGAAGTAAATAAATAAGGACAGATAAGGATTCTCCAAAAATGCCAAACTATATTATTTGAAAATGCACAGCATATAAATTTTAGAAAAATAAAAGGTTGATTATTGAGCCAGCTGCTTGCAAATTTGGGGTAGAGTCAATGTATTTTAAATCTCCTGTCCCAATCATATCATAAAAATCAAATCACATTCAGAATATGTGGCAGTCTCCATGGTTAGTAAAGGCTCCAAAGTTTAATCTTTAGTTAGCAGATTTCAAAAGGAAGCAATCAGCAAAGGTAAGCCAACCACTACCATTAAGAACACATCTGGCTCATCAAAATTTTAAGGTTTTTTTAAAGGAAAGAAAAAAAAATTAGAAAATAAATTGTTGTTATTACAATGTAATGTCTTTTAGATGAAATAGCTTTATATCACAAAGAACTTTGGACATAGCAACAGAGGCAGAAACATTGTAGTAACACAAGAGAAAAATTATTAACCATTTAATGATCATACTGGGAGTTTTGTCCTCAACTCTTACCCAAAAATTTGTATTGATGGGAAAAAACTGGACATAGAGAAGCTATTTAAGGACCTCAGAAAAGAAAATATTTGAAGGTCATTTTCTACAGTAAAGTCTCTGAACTTGAAGACTTTCTAGTATCAGATAATTACTACTTGTATACATCTTCCTTGTATCTAGCCTTTTGTGCTTTAAATTCATTTCTGAGCCCACACAGTAAACAAGTCTACTATTTAATATTGTATAACAGGCCTATTATTCAATAATAATCTTAATTTAGCAACTGATGGCAAGCAAATAAAATGTGTATACCATATTCCCATACCATTTGGGGGCACTGAGCAGCTTGTATTCTTTTTACTGTGGGATTTTAGAGCCTTTATTCCTTCAAAAGCCTTCAAGATAAACAAAGAACAGTGACTTGCAAAACTTTTCCCAGTCTTTTCCTAATCTTGATTGTTCATGTGAGAGGGCTTATTGTCCTAAGGTAAAGAGTGAGTGTGAAAGACTCAATTTTATATTTTTATTTAAAACAATACTTACATAGAGATTGTTTTCTCCCCAAGGTACAGTTTAGAATCACAAAACTAGAATCTTAGAAATGATTCAGCCCAATAATCCCACTGTACAGTTTAAAAAGTACAGGCAGTAAATTTCCCCAAAAGTTATAAGACTAGTTAATAGCGGAACTAAGCTAAGTCTTCTGATTCCTAGTTCAAGATTCTTTCAATTATATCTGTATCCTTTATGTCCATTTTAAAAATAAAAGAGGGCATGTAAACTCAATTCATTAAATTTTCGTGACAACATAATCTTTAAAAACAAACTGCAATTTTAACAAATGACTCTCACATCCATTTAGCCCTAATACAATTTCTCATTAATTAAGAGTACTTACAACATTAATGGGTACTATATTAAAATATTTTACACAGGTTATTATATGCAATCCACAGAATAACCCCTGAGGAGAGAAACAGTATTAGAAAAGAAAACCTGAATCTTATTCAAAAAGCCTGGGTTTTAACACAAGCAGTCTGAGAAAAAAGTCCATAATCTGAAGTATTATACTAAACTTCACCATGTAGGTACTAAAGTAAACAACTCACCGAAGCAGGAACTGGCTCCTGGAATTCAATACTTAATTCATGGCAATAGAGGTAAAGCAGAAGACGTTCACATTTCTGGCCCAAGAAAAGAAAAGAAAACCCATGAAATGTTCTTCTCCCTTAATAAGATATTCTTGAAAATGAAAACTTTATCACTACAAAGCATTATTACGACAAAATAAACATAAGCCTCCTCATACTAAACTATCTGACTAGATATATATATACCCCAAGAAAACCACCTTGTTTCCCATTTAGTTTTTCAGACTATATTTTAAATGAATTTACTGAACATACAGTAATGCCTTTGCTCTTAGGTGATTTATGTACTGGTAACTCTTACCTATTTATACAAATGGAAAGGAGTTGTAAAACCAACATACAGCATTTTGTGCAAAAATTTAGAGAGTACCTGGAACCTATAAACTATCACTGCCGCTATGCATTATAATCCAAGGCAGTCAGGACATGTGTTCATACTCTTTCTTAAAATGATTGACTCAGGTTCAAAACTAACTAAAAATTGTGTCTTCTCAACCCAATTCTAGAACCTTTTTACATAATCATTTTATGACTGTGATTACAAATACATTTTACACTTACAGTTTTCATTTGCTTAAACATTTTTTAATTGAAGTATCACTGATTGATATACAATCTTACATTGGTTTCAAATGTACAACACAGTGGTTCAACAGTTATCAATATTATTAAATCTTCACATCCACTAGAAGAGCTACTATCTGTCAACATGGGAAGATGTTACAGATCATTGACTATATTCTCCATGCTGTACTACTGTCCCCATGACCAACCTATATTGTGATTGAGAATTATTGTGCTGTTTTATCCACCTAACCCCTCCCCTCCCACCTATGCCAGCCTCTTCCCCTTGGTAACAAGTAGTCACTTCTCAGTGTCTATGAGTCTACAGCTGTTCTGTTCATTCTGTTTTGCTTTGTTATTTATACTCCACAAATAAGTGAAATCATATGGTATTTGTCTTTCTACACATGGCTTATTTCACTGAGCATAATACCCTCTAGATCCATCCATTTTGTTGCGTGGCAGGCTCTCTTTTCTATTTATAGCTGAATAATATTCCATTGTGTATATTACCACATCTTTATCCATTCATCTATTGATGGGCACTTAGGTTATTTCCATACTTTGGCTATTGTAAACAATGCAATAATAAACATTGCTTACACTTCTTTCAATGTAAGTTGTATACTCTAAACACATGCACTCTCTTCATAAATATTGGAGGAAGGATTTTGCAAGCATATACATCAGATTACAGCCAAACATAATTGTAATGACCACAGACATTTATCTTTGGAAATCACACTATATAACACATTAGCAGAAATCTGAGTGAATTGAGAAGAGGATTTTGGATTTTATTTTTAATATGATGTGAAGCTATTAGAGGATTTTAAGCAAGGAAGTATAACAGATTTATCTTAAAGTCTATTTTTAAAAGAATACTATGTACAGTACAGAAAATGGATTATAGAGGGGCAAGAGTACAATTCTGGGAGTTCAGTGAATAGATTATTACAACTATATGCATTTTATTCTTATAACATGTATAGCAAATGAAAAGCTATAAAGGCTGCCTCAAAAGGTAAAGGGTCTGACTTCAAGCTGTGCTACAAAGCCACAGACATCAAGACAATTTGGTACTAGCAGAAGAACAGACCAATAGACCAATGGAACAGACTAGAGAGCCCAGATATAAACCCAACCATATACAGTGAATTAATATACAATAAAGGAGCCATGGACATACAATGGGGAAATGACAGCCTCTTCAACAACTGGTGTTTGCAAAACTGGACAACTACATGCAAGAGAATGAAACTGGATTATTGTCTAACCCCATACACAAAAGTAAACCTGAAATGGATCAAAGACCTGAATGTAAGTGATGAAATGATAAACTCTTAGTAGGCTTTGCTGAGGAGCCAAGATGGTGGTGTGAGTAGGGCAGTGGAAATCTCCTCCAAAAACTACATAGATTTTTGAAAATACAACAAATACAACAATTCCTAAAAGAGAGACAAGAAGATACACTACAACAGCCAGGCTACATCTACATCTGCGAGAACCCAGTGCCTCACGAAGGGGTAAGATACAAGCTGTGGCCTGCTGGGACCCAAGCACCTCCCCCCACAACCAAGCTCCCCAGCAGGAGGAGAGGAGCCAGAGTGGGGAGGGAGAGGGAGCCCAGGACTGCTAAATAACCAGCCCTAGTCATCCACACCGGGAGCACAGACCCACATTGCATGGTGTGCTGGATACTAGGGAAACGGGACAGTAAAATCTGTGAGTGCATCCCCGCAGCTGGCACCCCTGTGATTTTTTGAAAGTCTTAAAGGGACAGGACCCTCACAGCTGGAGGGCAGCAACCCGGCACACTCAGCCCAGCAGCTGGGAATCCAAGGGAACACCAGAAGCCCTAACCTCCTGGGTGGCAGCATAGCTCTGAAGCCATACACGGCAATAAACAGCCTCCCATCTATTACCCCTCTGGTGCAGCCCTGTCATACCAGGGGAGCAGCCTGACAGCAGCTGCGCCCACAGGAACCGCCCAGAGCCTCCCACACAGCCACCCAGGCCAGACTTGGAGGCCCCACTGGTGCGCACAGACACAGGAAGCCAGGACAGGGCGCCAAGGGACACCGTTCTCACAGAAGAGCACACCCGGTGTGCCTGACACTCTCTGCAGGGCTGCAGGCTACTCCGACAGCTGCCCCAACCACGGCGGCTCAGGAAATAAACCCAGAAGCAGCTCCACTTGGGTGGGTAACCAGTAGAGGCAGCCAGGAGGGCAAAGCAACCAGCAAGCAGGAAGGGACTTTGTTCTCCCAGCTAACACACACGCCAACTGCCCACAACTACCTCTGTAGCCATGAAAAGGCAGAAGAATCTGATCCAGTCCAGAATCACCCAGACAGCCCCTGAGAGGGAGCCTGGGGAGATAGACTTAATCAATCTTCCTGAAAAAGAATTCAAAATAAAGGTCATAAACATGCTGATGTACCTGCAGAGAAATATGCAAGAGCTAAAGGATCACGTCAGGAGGGAGAACAGAGAAATAAAACAATCTCGGGAAGGATTTAAGAGCAGACTGGATTAGGTGCAAGAGGCCGTTAATGGAATAGAAATAAGAGAACAGAAACTCAGAGAAGCTGAGGCAGAGAGATATAAAAGGATCTCCAGGAATAAAAGAATACTAAGAGAACTGTGTGACCAATCCAAACAGAACAATATTTGCAATATAGGGGTGCCAGAATAAGAAAAGAGAAAAAAGGGATAGAAAGTGTATTTGAAGAAATAATTGCTGAAAACTTCCCCAAACTGGTGGAGGAAATAGTCTCTCAGACCACGAAAGCCCACCGAACTCCCAACACAAGGGATACAAGGAGGACAACACCAAGACACGTAATAATTAAAACGGCAAACACCAAGGACAAGGACAGAGTATTAAAGGCAGCCAGAGAGAGAAAAACGGTCAGCTACAAAGGAAAATCCATCAGGCTATCAGCAGACTTCTCAACAGAAACCTCACAGGCGAGAAGAGAATGGCATGATATATTTATGCAAAAAAAACCAGAAGGGCCTTGAACCAAGGATACTGTATACAGCACGATTATCATTTAAATTTGAAGTAGGGATTAAAGAATTCCCAGACAAGCAAAAGTTGAGGGAATTTGTCTACCAAAAACCACCTCTACAGGGTATTTTAAAGGGACTGCTCTAGATGGAAGCACTCCTAAGGCTAAATAGATGTCACCAGAGAAAATAAAATCACAGCAAAGAAAGCAGACCAACCAAACACTAACTAAAGCCAAAAAACAAAATCAACTACTCATAAAAGCAGTCTAAGGAAACACAAAAGAGTACAGAATGAAACACCTAACATAAAGAATGGAGGAGGGAGAATAAGAAGGGAGAGAAATAAAGAATCATCAGACTGTATTTATAATAGCTTAATAACAGAGTTAACTTAGACAGTTAGATAGTAAAGAAGCTACCCTTGAACCTTTGGTAACCACGAATCTAAAGTCTGCAATTGCAGTAACTACATATCTTTCAATAATCACCCTAAATGTAAATGGATTGAATGCAGGAATCAAAAGACACAGAGTAACAGAATGGATGAAAAAGCAAGACCCATCTATATGCTGCTTACAAGAGACTCACCTCAAACCCAAAGACATGCACAGACTAAAAGTCAAGGGATGGAAAAAGATATTTCATGCAAACAACAGGGAGAAAAAAGCAGGTGTTGCAGTACTAGTATCAGACAAAATAGACTTCAAAACAAAGAAAGTAACAAGAGATAAGGAAGGACATTACATTATGATAAAGGGGTCAGTCCAACAAT